GTCGTTTGACCCCCAAAGGGGTCGCGACCCACAGGTTGAGAACCACTGTTCTAGTCGCTAGTCTTTTTGCTACAAGGACTCACCTGTTTCATCTTATCATCCCCCACCTGTATCTTCTGTTCTGTTCCTATCATCCTTGACTGTTTTGTTGTTGTTTTTTTGTCTTCCTGATCTTCCCCTTCATCACCCTTTTCCCTATTTTCACACAAAACCACCCCTGCAACCCTCACTTACAAACCCTGGAAAACTGCTCCAAAGCCTCTGGATTAAAAACAACCGCAGCGCCGTAAACACATAAAAGATGTTCAGCCTCACTTGTCAACAGGAAAGTACACATTTTAAATCACGAAGATACCATTTCACACCCATGAGACTGGCAAAAGCTCAAGTCTGACCACGCCGGGCGTGTCCGTAAGCCTGTGGAGCAACTGGAACTCCCCACCGCTGCTGGGTGCAATGCAAACTGGCACAACGGCTTCGGAGAGCAAGCTGGCAGTGTGTCAGGGGCAAAAATGCCCAGCTCCTTTGACCCAGCCGTTTCCCTTTTAGGTAGAGACCACAGAGAACCTCTAAACACATGCACAGAGAGACGAGTTCAAGACTGTTCATCGCTCTAAAAGGGCACACACAAGACACTGTCAACCCAAGTGCTCATCAACAATAAAATGAATAAATATAATGCTGCACATTCATGAAATATATTATACAGCAGTCAAAACAGCCTAGAATTCATGTATCTTTTTTAAAAATACATTATTATGGATTTCAGACAGTAATATTGATTTCACTGATCGGCTGCTTCCTGCCCGCCCCACACTGGGGATAGAGCCCGCAACCCATGTGCCCTGGCCAGGAATCAAACCATAACCTCCTGGTTCATAGGCTGATGCTCAACCAATAAGCCACGCCGGCTGGATGAATTCATGTACCTTAATGGATAAATCTTAACATTGCAATGTAAACAAAAGCAAACTGAGTTGTTCAGTATTGCAGAGCTTGTTTAAAACATGAGGAAACAATACTATATCTGGTTTATGAATACATATAGATCCAGTAAAAGTATAAAAACACATGATAAGTACCAAATTCAGAACAGTGGTCACTGTCTGGGGGGGAGGGGAATAAGGTGGGGAAAGGTTCACTTGTATTCATAATATTTTATTTCTTCATGTGGAGGTCGATACATGGGTACTCACTCTGTTATTCTCCATATTTTTCCTGAAATTTACCACCAGAAAAAGAGTCCCAAGAAAAAGAGTCCCAAATCTGAGCTACTATAAAGCATTTGCAGATTCTGAAAGAGACATCAGAACTTGGTGGGCAGGAGGAAGGTTGTACCTACAAGTGGAAAGCGAAGCTTTAGGAACCAACAGGGTTTCCCCACACACACTCCATCCACAGCAAATAATCCTCGAATTATAGTAAAATTCCATGCAGAGGACTTATGACATCCCCAAAATTCTAAGCAGCAATCCCAGAACAGAAACTTTCCAAAACGTTGGCTGAGGTTGGTTGCTAATATAGAATTTATTTGGCTCAAGAAAGTCTTCGCTGGTTCATTTTCGGAGGCCTTCTCTCTTAAAAGATCAGCAAGGTTTTTCAAACCCTTAGACGAGCATTTGATTTCAGCACAACTGAAGGTTTATTATGTAAAACTGCATTAAAATTTTAGGCCAGAAGGGTTAACTAGACTAAAAGGCACCATCTTTTACAGCTCTTTCAGTTTGTGTTGGGTTGGCTGCATGGGTAGGCTAGAGATAAAACCAAGATATACCTTTCTGATGGTACCACAGAACTAAACACCATCTTATTTTTTTAAATATATTTTTATTGATTTCAGAGAGGAAGGAAGAGGAAAACATCAGTGAGAGAGCATCATGGATCAGCTGCCTCCTGCACGCCCCCTACTGGGGATCAAGCCCACTGGGGATCGAGCCCACAACCTGGGCATGTGCCCTTGACCAGAATGGCACCTGGGACCCTTCAGTCCACAGGCCAACGCTCTATCCACTGAGCCGAACTGGCTAGGGCTAAACACCATCTTAAAACCTCGACTCATTCAAACTAATTAGAGCAGGCTAGAGGGAAGAAAGGGGAGAACATATGAACAAGGAAATTTTCTCTTAATTGCTAAGAGAATCAAAATGGAAAATTACTTTCAGTACAACCCCAACATACCAAAATTCCACATTAATAAAAAATAAATAGATTTTACTGTAGGAGTGAACTGGAACACAAAGTTGATTTCCAGCAAATAACAATCTTGATTTCTAACTAAATATTCACATTCAACTTTGTTTGCACCCTAGGATTCCAAGAAAAAACTGAAAAATAAGTAGACTTAATTGTTTGGACCGGACCCAACACAAGTGCCTACATTACACCCAAGAAGCCAGAACAGAATTTTTCTTTAAGTATTAACCCATTTTACCCAGCAATTTCTAAAAACTGACAACTATCAAAGTAGACTCTCTATGAAATTGTAACAGCACCCAGCTGATAAGCCTCCAATTATCTCTGAGAGTGGGAAGCATGAGAAACAGAGGAAGAGGCAAGTTATCTCTTCTCCCAAATTATGTGATTTTTAATGTTTTATAAAACTTCTTCCAATGATTCTTAATATATATGCCTCAGGTCAGTAACTGACTTATCAAAATAAAATGATCTCTATAAAAAATCCTCTAGCTTTGTTTCAAATTTTTACTAATTTTACTTTCCCTTCTTATCAAGGTGATTTCACTAATTTGAAAGAATTCAAATCTGGCACTCACAAAGGTGTCCAATAATATACTGGGGAAGGCCCTAGCTGGTTCGGCTCAGTGGGTAGAGTGTCGGCCTGCGGACTGAACGGTCCCAGGTTAGATTCCATCAAGGGCACATGCCTGGGTTGCGGGCTCGATCCCCAGTAGGGGACGTGCAGGAGGCAGCTGATCAATGATTCTCATCATTGATGTGTCTATCACTCTCTCCCTCTCCCTTCCTCTCTGAAATCAATAAAAATATATTTTAAAAAATACACACACACACACACAGACACGCACACACTGGGGATGTTCAATGGATGCTAAAATGCCAACATCTGGCATGTTCAACACAGTTTAAACAAGGTAGTTAAGTACTCAAGTAGTTGCTAACCAATTAAGAGATGTAGATTTTATAAAGACTCTAACACTGCGGTTCTCAACCTGTGGGTCACAACCCCTTTGGGGGTTGAATGACCCTTTCACAGGGGTCGCCTAAGACCATCAGAAAACACATATATGATTACATATTATTTTTGTGATTAATCACTATGCTTTAATGATGTTCAATTTGTAACAATGAAATTGGGGGTCACCACAACATGAGGAACTGTATTAAAGGGTTGCAGCATTAGGATGGTTGAGAACCACTGCTCTAAGAGATATTACTCATTAAAGAAGGTTTTTGACAACAACAACAACAAGATCAGTTTTAAAAGCTGAGAAAAACTAAGGTTGCAAGAAATACAATTTGTTCAAAGGCACCGTCAGACTCATGCTTAACTGGAGGGACACCAATGGTACAAATTCCAGTTCTAATTACAGTTACATTGACTATAATCACATCTTCACATAAAAAATAGTCAAACTTTGCTCAAATGCAAATATACTAAAAAACATCCTACTGTGTTCATCAGCCTTTCCACTGTAGTGCCGCTGAGATTTTGTTCAACCTTTCTGCGTGGACACACTAAAATTTTCATCTTTATCAATGTTATACCCACAAGATAAGAAACTCCTGAGCTCCTTGGAGATAAGAACTCACCTCCTTCATTTACTTAGCACCTGCGCCCAGTGAGTGCCAACACTGACCCAGCAGGTCCTCCGCAAATGGCCATTTATGGAAACAGAAATGTAATCTCCTTTCCACATGACATTTCCTCTGTGGCGCGACTCACAGCAACATTAACAAGTAAAATTAAGATGAGGTGATTTAGACCAATTTGCATCAGTCCAAGTCGAATTTCTAGAGGGCACTTTTGTTTTCTCCTAATAAATGCTTCCCCTTTAGAAAATTCCTCAAGTTCTTCAAACAGAAAACGTACCCAAAACAAAAGCCTCCCATTTGTAGGGCCATAGAATACATAGGAAATTAGGTCCATTGGTCTGGACAAAAATCAGAGGATTATCAACAAGGGAGGTTTCCTCATACTTGGTAGGAGCTAGTGCATTTTTAAAATTACAACACACCAGCCAAACAAGCTTTATTATCTGTGACCCAGACACGCTGTGTGGCTAAGCTGACAGGCCCTGAGCAAGTTGATCAAGAATCATTATGGGCCCTAACCGGTTTGGCTCAGTGGATAGAGCGTCAGCCTGCGGACTGAAGGGTCCCAGGTTCGATTCCCGTCAAGGGCATGTACCGTGGTTGCAGGCACATCCCCACTGGGGAGTGTGCAGGAGGCGGCTGATTGATGTTTCTCTCTCACCGATGTTTCTAACTCTCTATCCCTCTCTGTAAAAAATCAATGAAATATATATTTTTTAAAAAGAATCATGGCAGGAATTCACATGGAAGTGGAATTAAAACAAATGGGAACCAGCATTAAATGTCCAGTGCACAATAAGACTTCAGTGGGGACTGGGACAGTGGAGGGATGTGAATATTTCCCAAGGCCCCTATATCTAAAAGTGGCACAAGAAGTTTGAGGAGAAGAAAAAAAAGGGGGGGGGGTGTTTATTTCTCAATCACATGAAGGATTTGGTACGTTTTGTTTCCGCTCTGCTGGGTCCTTTCTTGTCTGGTGACAAAACAAATCCACTTTTCAATGCTAGGTCTCGGTTTGTTCAAGTCCTACCTAGAAGGATGACACTGTTTAACACCCTTTCTGGAAAAACATCACCATGTTTAAAAAGGCAATCCTCACTTGCTCTCTCTACCACTACTCCAACCAGTTCCCACCAAATAGGGTTAGGAGAAGGAAGGACCAATAGGAGCCCCAGAAAGAAGCCAAACAGTGAGACCCCCAGAAGACCTACCTGGAAGCAATTCATCATCGCGTGCGGAATCTAAAGAGGAGTCCAATGAAAATGTATGTCAGATCAGGCAGAGACAGCCGTCTCCTCAGCACCAAGCCTTCTCGTGTGGGAAGTGAGGCTGGGAGGGACAGGGTGACCCGAGCAGCCTTTTATAAGGGGCGGGGTTAGGGATTCCCATCCCAGCCCTCGTATACTGCCATTCGGCTTGGTTTACATAAATGAACACGTGAGCTGTTTACATTAGTGGCTTCTTCCATCAGGTCCAAGAAGGCATCATTTCCTTTGTCCTTTGAGCACCTGAAGGTGACATGAGGCGATCCGGACGAGAGCTAGCACTCACTGAGTACCTCACCTCTATGTACTAGGCCTAGTAACTCACTCAATACAACATCCTACCGAGACAGGTGATGGCGAACCTTTTGAGCTCAGCGTGTCAGCATTTTGAAAAACCCTAACTTAACTCTGGTGCCGTGTCATCATGAAATCGCACTGTACATGTGCGCCCACCGCACATGGTATTTTGTGGAAGAGCCACACTCAAGGGGCCAAAGAGCCGCCTGTAGCTCGCGAGCCGCAGTTTGCTGACCACTATCCTAGGAAGTGGGCACCACTATCGTCCCATTTCTCTAGATAAGGAAAGACAAAGCGCAACCTGTTCACGGACAAAAAGCTAGATTGTGTGAGGTCCAGGCCTTGAACCCAGGAAGTCTAACTTGAGAGCACAAACTCTTCATTGCTTGCTCAAGACAACAGTGTCCAAAGAGGAACATAAAACTCCCAACTTACGAAGTACTAGTTCCTCACCTCACCGGGGCGATGACCCCGAATGTGGCGCCTCTTTAAAGATTCCACACGAGGTTGTCAACTCTCCAGACATAGCTCTAGCCTGCTCCTTTCATGCCCTCCCTGCAGCCCGCCTCCCTGGCTGAGTTTCACTGGAAACAGGTAGTGACATTCCGCCCCGGAGTGCCAAGAAGCCCCAGCTGCGCTGAGGGTGGAAAAAAAAAAGCGGAGGCTGGCTTCCTCTTGGGACACACGAGCTCTCAAGTTCCCAAGCTGCTTTAGTTCAGAGAGGTGCCCCACACACAAGCAGGACAGGAGTACCACCCAGGGCTGGGACTGCACCTCGCTGCCCCGTAGGCCTGAGGCCACCCCAGCAAGCCTGAAAGAAGAGAACTGGTCAGCTGCTCTGGTTTCAAAGGTCCCCTCGGACCTCAGCTTGGCCTAGAGAGACACTGGGCGGACTGGCATCACCTCTTCACTGCCACTCGACAGGAAGGAGCGGGAGGCCGTCTCTGCGTGAAGAAGGAAGGAAAGGAGAGGACACTGAGATGCTCCAGGAGCCACCCACCTCCTCCAACGGGCCCTGCGCCCATCCCCTGGCAGCTATCACCCCGGGAAGCCCCGGCGTTTGTTCTGCTGACCAGGGCAGTGCCCACATCCAACAGTGCTGAAAACTGAAGCCAGCACCAGCGGGTCTCAATTCCACTCCTGAGCTGCCACATGGCTCCTTAATGCTCCTTTGCCATGTGTTAATCTTGCAACGAAATGTGGGACAGAAGAATTAAAAGGCTGTGTGATGGGGGAAGGGCAGTCAGATCACCTTACCTCCAGACTTCTCCATCCAGCCTCCTCAGATTCCCTGTAGGGGCCTGTACTACCAGCTACAAGGGAGGTTCCCCCCAACCTGGCATTGAAAGAGCACGGGTTCCAGCTTTGATGGTGGGGTGTGTGTGTGTGGAGGTGGGGGTGGAGGGGTGAGAGGGGGTGGGAGATGCCCTGTAGGAGGAAGGCAAGGCACACTCTCTCTCATCCTGCACAGGAGGGCAATGTCTTACTCCAGAGGGCAAACTGTGCACCCAAATGTGTGTGTGTGTGGGGGGGGGGGCAGGGGGCACCCCGAGGACCCAAGGGCTAGAAGCTGCTCCTGCAGAAACTGAAAAGCAAGGGAAAGCAACGGGAGAAACCCAAGGTAAAGCCACCAACCACCACACCAGGGAGCCAGACCCCACCAGAGCCTAGGCATGTCCCCTTGCCGTGCCCACGCCCACCAGCCTCCATGGGTCTGCAGTGCATCAGGCTGGGGAGCCCCGAAGACCTCCACCCGCACGGCCAGTGCCCCCGCCACAGGCCTTCGATGTCACTGCACATCATGCAGACAGCCCTGTGCCTCTTTCACAGACGGGGACACTGAGGCGCCCAACACACACGACGGTGCTGTCTCCAACCAGGTGAAGTTCACTTCTCTCAGCACAATTTGGCACTTTTTCACAGCTTTATGACACTGACGACATACATGTCTCCAGATACGCCGCTTGCCTTTGCAAAGTGAATGTTAAATACAGTTTCAGGAGTGAACTCGAAATGAGATGAGGGCGGCCAGGGAGGCCGGGAGGGCTTCTTCTACCTCAAGGGCAGGATGAGTAGCGCCCCCC